TGATTTTGACCTGCAGTATTTCTTTTTGGCTGATTTTGACCTGCATTATTTCTTTGTGATTGATATTGACCTGTAGTGTTTCTTAGAGATTGATATTGACCTGCAGTATTTCTTTGTGGCTGATTTTGGCCTGCAGTATTTCTTTGTGATTTTAACCTGCAGTGTTTCTTTGTGATTGATTTTGACCTGCAGTGTTTTCTTTGTAGTTGATTTTGACCTGCAGTGTTTTCTTTGTGATTGATCTTGACCTGCAGTGTTTCATTGTGATTGATTTTGACCTGCAGAGTTTTCTTTGTAGTTGATTTTGACCTGCAGTGTTTTCTTGGTGATTGATTTTGACCTGCAGTGTTTCTTTGTGATTGATTTTGACTTGCAGTGTTTTCTTTGTAGTTGATTTTGACCTGCAGTGTTTTCTTGGTGATTGATTTTGACCTGCAGTGTTTCATTGTGATTGATTTTGACCTGCAGTGTTTCTTTGTGTCTGATATTTATACACAATGTCATCCAAAGTGACCAATAATTAATTGAAATTTCGTGATAATTTATAGATGACAACCATAAAGTTAGCTGCAGTCAAAGGTTTACCTTGACATTAATGGTTAAAGATTTGAGAATCATCCTCTAACCATATTTGCTGTTGCTGTGTAGGAGGAAGCAAATACCACCATGCTACCAGAATAAGCCCTGAGGAAGGCCCCACCCCTAGAATTACTTCCATGGTCATGACACGAAAAAGATTGAGATTCCTACCCAATCATGATATCCACATTTATATGAATCACAAATTTGCCATAAAACATCCAGTTACTGTGATCCATGTGTTACAAACTAAGCCAGAGAGGGGAAATATTTGCTCAAAGGTTGGTTAGACTTAACCAGTGATAAGGGGAAAACTTCAGATATAAATACAACAAAACCAAGAACATCTGACATCATTTCACTGCTATAGATTGGTTAAGACTGGTCAGATTGAGGTGTTACAAGGGCTTGCTTCACTGACCACTAGACATTTGAACAACTGGGGCCAAAGAAAAGGAACATAACTCTACAAAAATAGGTTTCATTGAAATCTCTGCAGTAATACAGGAAAAAGCAGCTTGGACTAGCTAACTCTCACCCAAGTCGGACAGAAAAAGCAGCTTGGACTAACTGACTCTCATCTAAGTCGGACAGAAAAAGCAGCTTTGACTAGCTAACTCTCACCCGAGTCGTACAGAAAAAGCAGCTTGGACTAACTGACTCTCACCTGAGTCGGACAGAAAAAAAGCAGCTTGGACTAGCTAACTCAAACCTGAGGCGGACAGAAAAAACAGCTTGGACTAGCTAACTCTCACCCGAGTCGTACAGAAAAAGCAGCTTGGACTAACTGACTCTCATCTGAGGCGGACAGAAAAAGCAGCTTGGACTAACAGACTCTCATCTAAGTCGGACAGAAAAAGCAGCTTTGACTAACTGACTCTCATCTGAGTCGAACAGAAAAAGCAGCTTGGACTAGCTGACTCTCATCTGAGTCGGACAGAAAAAGCAGCTTGGACTAACTGACTCTCGTCTAAGTCGGACAGAAAAAGCAGCTTTGACTAGCTAACTCTCACCCGAGTCGGACAGAAAAGGCAGCTTGGACTAGCTAACTTCTCACCCGAGTCGGACAGAAAAAGCAGCTTGGGCTAACTAACTTCTCACCCGAGTCGGACAGAAAAAGAAGCTTGGACTAACTGACTCTCATCTAAGACGGACAGAAAAAGCAGCTTTGACTAGCTAACTTCTCACCTGAGTCGGACAGAAAAGGCAGCTTGGACTAACTAACTTCTCACCTGAGTCGGACAGAAAAGGCAGCTTGGACTAACTAACTTCTCACCTGAGTCGGACAGAAAAGGCAGCTTGGACTAACTAACTTCTCACCTGAGTCGGACAGAAAAAAGCAGCTTGGACTAGCTAACTCTGACCAGAGTCGGGACAGAAAAAGCAGCTTGTACTAGCTAACTCTCACCTGAGTCGGGACAGAAAAAGAAGCTTGGACTAGCTAACTTCTCACCCGAGTCGGACAGAAAAAGAAGCTTGGACTAACTGACTCTCATCTAAGACGGACAGAAAAAGCAGCTTTGACTAGCTAACTTCTCACCTGAGTCGGGACAAAAAAAGCAGCTTGGACTAGCTAACTCTCTCCTGAGTCGGGACAGAAAAAGCAGCTTGTACTAGCTAACTCTCACCTGAGTCGGACAAAAAAAGCAGCTTGGACTAGCTAACTCTGACCAGAGGCGGGACAGAAAAAGCAGCTTGGACTGGCTAACTCTCACCTGAGTCGGACAAAAAAAACAGCTTGGACTAGCTAACTCTCACCCGTGTCGGACAGAAAAAGCAGCTTGGACTAGATAATTCTCACCCGTGTCGGACAGAAAAAAGCACCTTGGCCTAGCTAACTCTCACCTGAGTCGGACAGAAAAAAAGCAGCTTGGACTAGCTAACTTCTCACCCGAGTCGGACAGAAAAAGCAGCCTGGACTAGCTAACTTCTCACCTGAGTCGGGACAGAAAAAGCAGCTTGGACTAGCTAACTCTGACCAGAGTCGGGACAGAAAAAGCAGCTTGGACTAGCTAATTCTCACCCAAGTCGGACAGAAAAAGCAGCTTGGACTAGATAATTCTTACCCGAGTCGGACAGAAAAAGCAGCTTGGACTAGCTAACTCAAACCTGAGTCGGACAGAAAAAACAGCTTGGACTAGCTAACTCTCACCTGAGTCGGACAGAAAAAGCAGCTTGGACTAGCTAACTTCTCACCCGAGTCGGACAGAAAAAGGGATTCCAGTATTGAACCACGCTAACTTTGACGCTGGGTAAATAGAACCTCGCTTTCATATGATTTTTTTGTTGCTTTCCATTTTGCATTAGCCATCTTCTCAGAAATTGAATACAAGAACAACCAGTTTTGATTCTAAATGTTTTATATCTAATGGCAACAAAGGTAAACAAATTAAATCTATAAACAAGTAAATGGGGTTTTACAAATAGCTTGAATTGAGATTTGTTATACAAAGTTAAAATAACTTCAAAAGGTGTAAAATTGTAAATATTAAATGAAGTACCATGTAGATGATATAACAAACAAATTCAACAACAGTATCACAATCACATAAAGTGGGTGATATACATCTTCTCAATAAAGACCTTGTATTGTGTAGAAAAAATAGATATAAATTTCATAAACCAGTACATAAAGATGATCATTGGGAAAAAATGCATCAAATTTCAACATGTTGACAGTTATTAACATGAAACAGTACTAAAGTTATGGAAAACTGTAGAAATAGTCTTTGTAAGATATGTTTTATAAACTAGAAGTGAAACATTAATGATCAAAATGTAAAGAATAACTAAGTGTCCAAGGATTAGAACTTATACTATTCATTATAACATTAAAAAAAAATCAAAACATTATGAAAAGCAAAATCGATTTAAATATTATTTAAATATAATAACTACGTGAATATTTTATTTTAGATATGAAACTATATTAATTGTTTTGCCTATATCTTAATAATAAATTAATTCATGTATGTTTATTTGAATTTTATTTGTAAAAATCTAGTTTGAAAAAGACTTTAAAATATGTATGAATTTTTTAAATTTATAAATACCCCCCAGGTATATTAAAATGTTGGCAATAAATATTCAAGAAAAATAGTTTTTAAATTGAAAAAGGAGCAACATAATATTTACAAGAGATATAGAGAATATCTGAATATCAAAAAGCAGTAATTTTTTTGGGGAAAACTGGAAAATTTGGAAAAGATTAAAAAAAATCAAACTTGAACATACACTGCGTAAGTTGGCCAGGGCTCCCTAAAACACAAAACTCGTTTGAGAGTATCCCTGACCTTGACGTTTTCACCTTAAACACGAACTTGTTTAAGGCATTCACGTTCTTGACTTATACATTGCATATATCAGGTTTGATAAAACTGAAATACCCAAATTTGATTATGTTTAGATGCATAAAGACTATCCCAAATACCCACAAATGCAGGTATGGGAGACTGGTTTATACAGAGGATCAATACAATTATTATGGAAATGAGAATAGCAGAATTTAAAAAAACAAATGATCTGAATGTCAGCTAAAATAAATGGATGTTAAAAGTAACCAAGATTTTGACTTAAATGATATCTTGTTTATGTTAAAAAGAAACTAAAATCTTCCTGAAATCTGAAAATTATCTAATTTAGAAATTCTATGGGCTTCAAATCATTCATTTTTCTAAAAAAAGAAAATTGTTTCTTTATATTTTCGGATTTGCACTGGACTAATATTGTATTTCTTTTTAAAATTACTCTTGATTAAGAAAAACAAGGACATCTTAGAAATTCTCTCATCCCAGAAATAACTTGTGTTGACTGTGTATGTAAAAAAAGTTCAAAATCAATAACTTAGTACCAAGTAATTATATAACCTCTGAGCAGCAAAGATGCAATGTTGTTAAATATCATATTCTTATCTCTTCACTTCAAAAATTAAAGAAAATTGGAAAATTTACTTATTTTTCAAAAAATCATTATATCATCTCATATAATATATATATTCATATTGCACAATATCTAGATCAACAGTTATAGGAGATGTCTGTTTTACTGTTTATAATTATTTTGTTGCTCAATTCGTTCACTTTCCAAAGCAGGAGAGGAATCTCCTCCTTCTCTGCTTCTTCTTGTTGCTTCCCTGTGGCTTCACTGGGTTATCTACACAGACAACCACTGAGGGGACCTCTACCTCATCTTCACCGAAGTCAACAACAATCTCAGGGATGATGTCCTTCAGATCAACCACCTCGAAAGAGTTGCCCAGCCTTGTTTTCTTGGTCTGTTTTGTAATATAAAATGCAAAATTAGTTAATGTTTTATTTGATGAAGGAGGATAAAGGGAAACACTGAAAAATGATACTACCCCGACCCCATTAACTCCGTACGTATACCCATTCAGTGTGCCAACTAAATATTGAGCCTCGCACTACAGACCCAGCTCAGTTGTCAATCAAATATTGAGCCTCTTACTACAGACCCAACTCAATTTGCAACCAGGTAAATATTAAGCATAACGGTCATCTCAGTTGTCAACCAAACATTGAGCCTCTTACTACATTGTTTTTATGAGGTGTAATAACCAAACATTGAGCCTCTTACTACAGATATATATTGTTTTTATGAGGTGTAACTTACTGGGCAGATGGTGTCTAGTAGAGACTTTGTGGTTTTGTATTTAAAAACACCAGAAAGGAAGGTTTCTGAAAAAGAGAATCCAACAAAACAAATTAACATCACCTCACACAAAAATGTTACGGCAAATTATTCCTGAAAAAAAAGCGATAGATATTTAAAACAATCCTGCCTCCTCTTCGATGACATTTAAACAATTTAAAAAATAAATATTAGCAGATGTCATTACAGTATACAGTTTAACAGCACAAAGTTAAGACATAAGTGTAATGATACAACATGTATACAAAATATATAAATCATCTTAAATTTACTACTTCCAAATTATTAACTATATTTGAAGATTTTATAAAAAACAACAACAATCAACTGATGAACTATGCTCCTGAAAAAGATTGCTAAGACAATGTATTAGACCTTTGACCTCAGTGTAACCTTGACATTGGAAGTACCACCCCAATATGTAGAAGTAATCTAAACACACAGCCCTGCCATTCTGTGTGTCAGATGCTATTACCTGGACAAACACTTTGGACAGACAGATGGACACAGCGGAGACGATAATATTAATAGTTCTGATAGGTAACAATACATTTATACTCAGAGTGAGACACCCTGTGTGCCGACTTAAACAAATTACCATTTTTGTTGGTGATAAGAAGATTTCTCCAGACATTGACACGTTCTGCATGTTTCCTGCGGAGTACCTGGTCCTCCATTTCAGGTTCACACTGTAGCCAGCGTTTGGTGAGGGACACAGTTCGCTCATACATGGTCTCCACATCACAGACTGTTCAACACAGAAAAAAGTTAACTCAATTGTACTCATTCTAAATTTTCTATGTAGACAAAACTGAGGTGATGTAATCGAATAACCTGCAGGAATTACCATAATCTTGGTCAGAAACTAGCACAGTGCAATCTGACCCCTGGGTATTCTGACTTCCTGCCTAAGCCATTATAATGTTGTATTCCTATTTCTAATAAAAGCTATCACATAACATCTGTGTATCTGACATCCTGTGTATCTGACATCCTGTTTATCTGACATCCTATGTATCTTACATCCTGTGTATCTGACATCCTGTTTAACTGACATCCTGTGTATCTGACATCCTGTGTATCTGACATCTGTGTATCTGACATCTGTTTATCTGACATCTGTGTATCTGACATCCTGTGTATCTGACATCCTGTTTATCTGACATCCTGTGTATCTGACATCCTGT